AGGTTGAGGCCAGGCTAAGCTGAGACTCTGCCTCTAAAAACACAAATGAATTCATTCATTCTCTCCCCTGGTCCTCCTCTCCAGCATGGGTCTTGGAAAGAACACTGAGACACGGCAGGAAGAACCCCGAAATCCAGCTCTGCCCTTGAACCCATGGCAATCTCTCTGCCTCAGCCTGGGATTTCAGTCGGATACCACTAGGCTTGGCTAGACCCTATCTTTGCTTCTTTTTCACTATGGTGTAACTTCCCACTCCCCACACAGCAGAGTCTTGGGGTCAGCTTGGGACATAAGACTCTTTATTGCTCCATAAATGCAAGGGAGCTCCAGAGGGGTGTGTGTGGAGAGGAGAGAGAGAGAGAGAGAGAGAGAGAGAGAGAGAGAGAGAGAGCGCAATACAGCTGTTCCGCATTCAGTCACACCCAGAAGTGGAGCCAGAAGTCCAGACTGCTGGTGGCCAGCTCAGTCAGGACCCTTACCTCTGACCCCAAGAGACAACACCCTACCTCCCAGCCCTATTCAAGGACTCTAGAACTGATCTGGTGGAACAGGGGCAGGGGTGAGGGTGGCTAGCTGGCCCCTGCTGAGGGTGGAGACAGTTGCCATAGAGGAAGAATAGGAAATGACCCACTGAGGCAACTCCAGCCCTGGCCTCGGGTGGGCACCCTAAACAAATGACCACAGACACACATCCACACGGATGCACTAAAGGAATGACAAAGCAAAAGCAGAGCTGGAGAGATGGTTAAGAGCACTGGCTGCTCTTCCGGACGACCAGGGTTCAATTCCCAGCTCCCACATGTGGCTCCCAGCTGTCTGTAACTCCAGGCCCAGGAGTTCCAATTCCCTCTTCTGGCCTCCTTGGGCACCGTACACATGTGGTACAGACATACATGCAGGCAAAACATCCGAACAGAGAGTGAGAGAGAGAAATAACTGCACCATGCCTGACAGATGTGACCTTAGCCAAGTCAACACCACAGCGCTTCTGAAACCTGCCAGAGTGCAGACTTGAAGCCCTGTGAAGAAGCATCGGGCATACAAAAACTGAGGGGCATCCTATAAGCTACCATGCTGTACTCTCCCAATGCCAACGTCATGAGCCAGGACAGTGACACGTGTCTGTAACCTCAGCACTCAGGAGGCTGAGTCTGAAGCTACCTGGGCTACATGGTGAATTTCAGGCCAGCCTAGACACGAAGGCCCCGCCTAAACAAAACATAACTAGGAGCTGGGGTTTAGCTCTGTTGGTAGAGCACTTGCCTGGGTCTCATCCCGACCCTCGGCACTGCAGAGAACGGGTAGAGAGGCACTCATCCCTATAATCACAGCACTAGGGAGGTGGGGGCAGGAGGACCGGACTCAGAAACAGAAACAAAAGTAAGTGAGCAAAATAGCCAAGGTTGGGCTAGCAAGATGACTCAGGCGTAAAGCCTGGTGACTCAATCCCTTGAATCCACATAAAGGTGGGAGGCGAGAGCGAAGTCCACAAAGTTGTTTGCCTTCTGACCTCTACACACAGGTGCCATGACACACATAGCCCCCCTAAGCAATAAGTAATAATAAAATTTAAAGTCAGAGTTATAAAGAAGACTGAAGGGGAAGTGGAAGATTTGCAAGGGGAGAAGACATGGAAAATAGGTTAACGTGTAATTCAGAATTTTCCTCAGCAACGAAGTCCACCAATCGGGTGGCAGTGCCACCCTGCCGGTTATGTGTTGGTATGTGTACGTCTGCGGGAAAGCCACATACATAAGCATACACACACGAGGTGGCATCGTGTCTACTCAAGAAAAATAATGGGAGAGAACACAAAATGCTAACAACTGGGAAACCTGCACAGCGTAAATAAGTTTTCTTAAAGTCATTGTTATCCTAGCCAGGTAGAATCATGAAACGCACAGACTCAGGGTCAGAATTAGCATCTATCCCTGCGCCCCTGACTTCCTAGCTCTGTGGCTTGGGCCATCTGTCCTTCTGTGAGTGGTGGGTGATGGCCCTGCCCATCTGGCTGGAGCATTCGGTGATCTAATAATGGGGCAGCTCTTTGTGAAGGCTTCGGGAGCCAGATGATGGGGTCTCAGCTGTCCTCCTCCAGTCACGGAGAAAGGTCCCTGGGGATGGGACTCTGTTGAGTACTAAGAGGAAGGCACTGGGGCCTCATGGTTGCTTTCCTGGGAACTTGTGTGTGCACGGCCTCTCTGGGATTCTGTGTTTCATGCCTGTAGCTGTTTTTAGAGATGGGATTTCTCAGGTCTGGGGAGGTAGCACCGGCTTCAGTCCCCGGCATTTCCAGAAAACGAGCCATAAAGATTCCTTTTCCGGGCCACATGCTATCATGCCATTAAACACATGAGTTAGAGCACAGGCCACCAACATTAACAGCTGGGTGGCATTCTGGGTAGAAAGGAGAGGAAGTCCCTTAACTTACTGTTTCCCTTACTGCTGAACACTGAAATTACTTCTGATTCTTACTATTTCTTCTCCTAATTCAATGAGAAAATGCCACCCTGTTATATGACCAATTCCCAGTAACTACTGTTTGGGGTGGGTGGGTGGGTGGGGACAGGATCCTGTGCAGCCCAGGATGGCGGACTGACCTGACGTTTAAATAGCACTGAAGCAGATTTTGAGCTCCTGATTCTCCCGCCTCTACCTCCCCTGGGTTCCAGGAATGTGCCATCAACCCCGACTGTTCTTCAGAACCCTTCAGGGATAGATAGCCATCATGTGTGCTGTTATCATTTTAAAATTCTGCCGGGAGGTTAATCCCAGCACTCGGGCTGCAGAGGCAGGCAGATCTCTGTGAGTTCAAGGTCAGCCTGGTCTACAAGAGCTAGTTCAGGACAGGCACCAAAACCTACAGAGAAACCCTGTCTCGAAAAAAAAAAAATTAAAATCCTTTCCAAGGCTGGAAGACCTGAAGAAGAGGCTTGAGTTTTAGTAGTGAGCCGGGGGATGAGGGGGAGTGGATCATTGATGGGTGTGGCAGCGCACACCTTTAATCTCAGCACCTACAGGAGGCAGAGATAGGAGGTTCCAGGCCAGCCAGGGTTACAGGGAGGCCTTGCCTAATAACTCAACAAACACATAGTCGGTAGTCAGGTAGTCTGTGTCCAGGGAGGAGGATTCTTCATATCACAGATCCTTCTGCAGCAATGACCGAATACTCCAAGGCTATAGAGCAGAGAGGCCTTAGCAGCCAGTGTGGGAGGATCTGGGTCATAACTGAACCTGTTGAGCAGGTTCCAGCGAGTCTCTGGAACACAGGCCTTCCCTAGAAAGACTTCCCCAAGCATCTCAGAACCTTCCTAGAGGGTCGCTGATGAGAACTGAGCAGGGCACTCCCAGCTCAGGCTGGCTAGGAAAATCAGGCTGTAGGGGCTACAGAGAAGGCCCTGTTCCTTTGCTTAAAAAATAGATCGTATTCATCAGTTTGGAAAGAGTTCAGTCAGGAGAAGTTCTTGCAAAGAGAGGTCCAGCTTGGGCCCCTTATCAGGTGCCAATGACCAACTGTGTTCAGATTCCAACCCTACCATGGAAGACTTCTGGTCTCTGACATAGTTGGTATTTGATGTGTGTTGGAGGGGAGAGAAACCAAGTCCCCTTTGCAGTAGGTCCCCCCACACACACTGGGAATGACATGGTACAAAGATTTTGCCTGAGCAGCTGAGAAGTGGGCTCTTTCATTTCTTTGGGACCAGCTGGTCTCCTTCCAACAGTTGCAAGAGCAGCAGGTCAAGTGACTCTTCCCAGCTTGTCTCAGCGTGTGACAACCAGGTGACCTGTCTCTACTGAAGCGCTGACTACCCTCTTAGCCCTTGGAAAGCACTCAAGGTTTTAGAAAGGACCTATAATTAGGGCAGACTCCGGGGCCTTGCGCTCAGGCAAAGAGACAAGGAAACGGCCTTAGGATTCCTGCCTTGGGTTCAGCACAGGACACCAGGATTTTGGAACTCTGAAAAGACACAGGTGAAGCTGGCCTCTGGGTACAGCTTTTTTTGCTGACATGCTTGAAAGCAGGGCAGGACAGGGCAGGACAGGCCGGCAAAGGCCTTCGTATCCTCACTCAGAGACTCCAGGAGGCTGACAGCCCTGATCCTGACCAGCCCTTTGCCTCAGTTTTGAAGATCCTGAATAATTCTAGGCCGTCAAGTCCTCCTAGGAGGGACTAGACAGGAAGTTTGGTGGTTAAAAGCACTTGCTGCTCTTATAGAGGACCTGGGTTCAATTCCTAGCCCCCACATGATGGTTCACAACCACCTGTAACTCTAGTTGGGGGAGGGGCTGATGCCCTCTTCTGACCTTCAAGGGCACCAAGTACACATACATACATGTTATGCACATACATACATGCAGTCAATACTCACACATAAAATAAAATTAATAAATCTTTAAAAAAAACCTTAGAATAAAAATTCTAGTGACTGGGGCCCGAAGTCTATAAACGGCATGAAAAACTTAAAAAGCATACATTTGTGTGTTTTATGGTTGAGACACTGTGGTCTGGGAGTGGCTGGATGTACCACACCCACTGTGGTAGAGAATTGGAAGTTGTGGGCTCTTCCGCCAGGACAGACACCTAATCATCTCCCAGCCTACGTATCGGGGTTTCTCTCCATAGGCAGCAGAGACTGCCAAGTCACGGTGAAGAAGGAGGCAAAAGCACAGTGTCGTTGTCCCCAGTTCCTTTCTAAATGGCAGGGCTCACCCCTGTGGGCAAGCTCTGCACCCACCCCCACCTCGCCTGAAGGTTCCAACTGGGGCAGACACCACCGACCACCCGCTTCAGAGATGCTCTAACACGTTGACTCCAATCTCTTGGGCAAGCAAGGCATCCTTCCATGCTTCCGGGATGCCCGGGAGGCATGACCGCCAGTAGAACAAGCCACCTTGCCACCTAGATAGAGGATGCACGAGGGCCACAGTGCAGTAAGCAAGGCCAGGGACCAGTAAGCCTGGGTCCGGGGCCTGAAGGCAAAGCAGCGTCTCCCACTCACCTGATGAGATGAAAAGCCCAGAGCAGATGGTCCGTGCTGGGCCCGCGCGCATCTCGGACGATGCTGAGGTACAGGTAGAGAGCGATGGCCACCGTCCAGAAGAAGGAGCTGGTGTTGGCGAAAGTAGAGAGCGCGCCCTGCAGCACGCAGTCCCACGAAGGCCCCGCAAAGTCCTGCAGCACCCCGTAGAAGTACGAGGCAGCCGAGAGCAGGTCCGCTAGCGACAGGAAGAGTAGCAGGCGCCGTGCCCGGCTACGCAGGTCAGGCCACAGGGCGTGCGTGACCACCAAGAGGCCCGAGCCCAGCGCTGACAGCACGCACGACAGCAGTACCACGGCGCGCTCCCACGGCAGCAGCACAGTGGGAGGTGCGGGGGATGGCATGGCCGGCTAAGGACCAAGGGCAGACGGCCAGGGTGCCCAGGGACAAAGATGCAGAGAGGTCGAGCCCGCGGTCGCCTCTGTTTGGGCATCTAGACGCCCGGGGCTCGAGTGCCAACGGGTCCGGCCTGCGTCCCTGCCCCGCCCAGGCTACAGACCAAGCCGCCGCCGTCTCATCCCAAGGCTCTCGACGTCCACCCCACCCCTGTGCTCTCTGCTTCGGGCCGCTGAGCTCTCCCGGGTCCACCCCTGCGCTCTCTAATCCCGCCCCTGAGCTCTCCCCGTTCCTACTCTGCGCCCCCCACACCCCTCCCTGATTTCCCTAATCCCCGCCCCTGAGCTCTTCACGCCTTGTGTCTGCCTCCCGCGCTATGCTCCTGTCTCAGCGCAGTCCACACTCCGCCCGAGTAGCCTCAGCACCCAGCCCTGACGCCCGCCCCTGCGATCTCCTTGCTCAGAATCAGCCCCTACACCTAGCTCCTAAATTCTCCCCTTCTCCCACCCCAAGCCCCAGAGCCCAGCTCCCGCGTCCCGCCCCGACCCTCCCCGCCCCGCCCCCGAGCCCTCCACGCTCCGCCTCTGTAACGCTGAGCGCTCTCGCCCGCGCTCCACCCCTGCGCACTAACACACCGCGCTCCGGAGCTCCAGCGCTCCGCCCCGTGGCTCCAGGGCACCGCCCAGTCTCTTCCAAGCTCCTCCCGTGACCCCCACTCGCGAACTGCTCCACCCCTGATGCTCATTCAGCACCACGCTCACGTGCTTCCCCACGCCTCTGCGCCCCTACACCTCTCTTCACCCCAGTTACTCCCGGTCCTGGTCCTCGTCTCTGCCTTCCGCCTCCCGAAGCTACTCTAGAAGGCTAGCAACAGGCTAGGACATCCCGTTCTGGCGCGGAGGGGAGAAGGACATTTTTTAGGGCTAAAGTTACTTTCCTCGGGATCAGCCAGGCCAACTTACGTGTGTGTTGGGGCGGGGAGGCGCGGTTGTTGGAGACATTCTTTCCGATGGTGGCAAAAACAGGTCCAGAGCGTGACCCACATTCCTGAAGCCTGGGTTACTTGAAGTGTTCCCAAGATCTGAGGTGGTGATTTGGAGAAGTTTCTGACTTTTGTTATAATGAACGTATTGTTTTTGTGGAGTTGAGAATGGAACGCAGGGCTTCACACATCCCAATAAAGTGTTCGCCTACTGAACTGTATACTTTCATTTCCTAATTATTCTCTATGGCTTATTTGGTGCGATTTAAAAATACATTTTATTATTTTACTTGAACGGATAGTTTGCCTCCATGGATGTCTGCGTACCACGTGCCTACAGAGGCCGGAAGAGGGCGTCATACCCCTTACACCATGTGGGTGCTGGAATTGAACCCAGTCCTGTGGAAGAACAGCAAGTGGCCTTCTCTCCCTCCAGAGGTGAGATTTTTAAGAAATGAAACACTAGCACCTGTGAGATGACTTTGAGTAATGGCCCTAGCAAAGCAAGACCAACAATCGGAGTTTGATTCTCGGGACCCACTTGGAAAGAGAGATCGAGTCATGTAAGTCGGCCTGGTACCACTTCTCCCCACCCCTGCTGGACACATAAAAAATGTACTCTAATCTAAAAAAATGTAAAAGTGAAAAAAAAATAAATGAAATATCAGTTCCCAGTTTGCAGAGTCCTTCCTTTTCCTGTTGGAACATTTTGTATTTTTCAGGGATGGAAATTCTCTATAGAGGACCCAGTTTTCATTACCAGCTCCCAGGTAGGTGGCTCACAACCACGCATAGTCCAGTTCTGAGCGCATCCCATGTCCGTGGTCTCTGAGGCACTGTACTCACACACCCACATAATTAAAAGTAATAAAAATCATTTTTTAAAAGTCTGCATTTGTAATTGTCCTAAGTCTAAAAGTCACTGGGTTTTAGTACATTTGCAAGTTTGTGCAACCACAGTAATTATCTTGTTCTACAGCATTTGCTCACCCTCAAGGACTTGGGCTACAAAGATTGATGCCCAGTTAAGAGCACCTGTGCTCCTGCAGAGGGCTTGAGTTCAGGACCCAGGACACACATATGCCTCACAGCCACCTGTAGCTCCAGTTCCTGAGGATTGGATGCCCTCTTCTGGACTCCTCCAGCACTGCACACACAGGGTACACATGCATGCACACAGGCAGGCACACTCTCATACACACAGAATACACAGAACAGCCAGGTGGTGGTAGTGCACGCCTTTAATCCTTTAATCCCAGCACTCGGGAGGCAGAGATAGGTGGGTCTCTGTGAGTTCAAGGCCAGCCTGGTCTACAAGAGCTAGTTCCAGGACAGCTAGGACTGTTAAGCCATGTCTCAATAAACAAAAACAAATCAACAAAAACCACAGTACAAATCCTGTTCTCTTCTAAGGAGGGACAGAAAGGGAATGGATCTGGAGGGAAGGGGAGGTAAGCGGAGCTGGACGTAGAGGGAAAGGAAACAGGATTATTGTAGGAGAAAAATCTATTTTCAATAAAAAGAATTTTACGGTAAATATTTGGAAAGCCAAGAAATTATTCTCTATTGATATTCAAAACTACTAAATGGCTGGGCGGTGGTGGCGCATGCCTTTAATCTCAGCACTTGGGAGGCAGAGGCAGGTGGATCTCTGTGAGTTCCAGGACAGGAACCAAAAGCTACAGAGAAACCTGTCTTGAAAATCAAAAAAAAAAAAAAAAAAAAAAAAAAACCCTACTAAATGGCCACTTTAAAGTTCTTGTGAAATTGGGCAACCACTGATTTTCATCATAGTCTGGATTTATCTACTCTGGGTATCTCCTATGAGGGGGAAGGTATAGGGGATGGTCTTCGGTGTCTGCCGTCTTTCCCTTGGTGTGTTTGCAAGATTCCTTCTCCATAACGTGTCTGCATTCCTTTCTTCCTGTGGGCAATCACCAAGATTCCTTCCCCGTGATGTGCCCTTTCCTTACTGTGGGCAATCACATTCTCCTGTGGATCCAGTCACCGGCGGATGGGAACATCTGGCTGGGACGAATAAGCGGCTGTGAAACTCAGGTGGAAATGCTATGTGGACAGATGTTTTCGGTTCTCTTGGGCGTGTACCTCGGCGTGGAATTGCCGGGTGGTAAGGTAAAGAGCTGCATTTGCCTTTGTGAGGAAAGCATGATCTCTGTCCAAAGTGTTCACTTGGCCTTCACCACCAGTGCGGAGGGACAGGGACAGTATATTGTTTTGGAGAGGTCCGTGTGCAGCTCAGGCTGGCCTGGAAGACATCTGACCTGGAGTTTCTTCTCCTCCTTCTGGATGCTAAGATTTCAGATTTGCATCACGGAGCCCTTTCTTTAAAAAAAAAAAAAAAAAAAAAAAAAGCCATCTATTTATTTAGCATACGGGCTAATTTTATGTCAGCTTGGCACAATAGAGTCATCTGAGGAGGAGATGCCAATTGAGAAAAAATGCCCCCTAAGATCCAGCTGTAAGGCATTTTCTTAAATAGTGATTGATGGGGGAGGGCCCAGCTCACTGTGAGTGATGCCATCCCTGGGCTGATGGTCCTGGGTGCTCTAAGAAAGCAGGCTGAGCAGACCATGGGAGGCAAGCCAGTAAGCAGCACCCCTCTATGGCCTCTGCATCAGCTCCTGCCTCCAGGCTGCTGCCCCCAGGTTCCAGCTCTGTTCGAGTTCCCTTCCTGACTTCCCTCAGTGATGGAAGTACAAACTGAAAAGAACCCTTCTCTAGTCATGGTGTTTCACTGCAGAAATAGTAACCCGAACTAGGGCAGAAATTGGTACAGGAAAGTGGGGGATTGCTGTGACAGACCCGATCATGTTGTCTCGGGGAGGATCATGGAACTTTGGGCTAGAAGAGCCACTGAGTGTGGAGAGCTCAGCGGGCTGTTCTGTAGGAGCTTGGGAGATAAGAACTTTGAGAGCAGTGCAGCCAATGGAAGCCTGCTTGTGAAGTCTCCCAGGGAAGCAAAGACTCTACCGGGTTATCTGTGCAAAAATCTGTAGTGTCTTGTCAGCTGGAGCTGAGGAATCAGCTGTGATTGACAGGAGAACAGAACCACTAAGATAAAATATTTTCTTATTTATTTGTTTATGGCAAATATAGCTCTTTACCTTATTTGATTTAATATTTGTGATATTACTTTGCTTCAACTTGCTGGGACAATTGACGCTAGTTAGCTGGAGCTAAGAAATTAGCCATGATTAAGAAGAGACCAGCATCACGGAGGTGAACTCTTCTGGGAGCTGTCTCCTCAGGGTCAGAACTCAGAAAGTGTTCTAAATGCAGCCTAGGCTATAACTTGAGCTGGCAGCCAGATGTGGTAGTGTAAGAGCCCCCCAGGTGGTACTGGTTTTGAACGCATGAGGAGGTCATGGAGAGCAGCTAAGGCTTGGCACTGTGAGAGGCCAGGGGAGACCGATGGTGATTGTGCGGCCTCAGCAGCAGTTGATGAAACGGGTCAGGCTGAGAAGCCGAGGGTGGACACCGTGAAGGGAGCCCAGGAGAGGCTGGTGGTAGTTTGAATGTAATTGGTCCTCATAATCTCATAGGGAGTGGCACTATTAGGAGGTGTGACTTTGTTGGAAGGGATATGGCCTTGGAGGAAGAGCGTCCCTGTCGGGACAGGCTGTGAAGTTTCCTATGCTCAGGATACTGCCCAGTGTGACAGTCGACTTCCGGTGGCCTGCATATCAAGATGTAGCCTGCACCACATCTGCCTGCACGCAGCCATGCTCCCCGCCATGATAACGGACTAAACCTCTGAAACTGTGCTTACACCGCCCTAATTAAATATTTTCTTTGTATAAGTTGCCATGGTCGTGGTGTCTCTTCACAGCAACAGAAACCCTGACTAAGACAAATGATATACAGTTGGTTTAGGACATTTGGGTTGTTTCCAAAGTTTAGCTACTTTAAGAGAGAATGAGCGTATATTCTTTCAGAATGCAAAAAAGTTACTAAAAGCAATTTTTAGTAGTGTCAGCAAACCTATTTATGGAGCTTGCTCTGCAGAGAGCCCAAGAACAGCTGCTGTCCTTCCCAGTCACTCTGAATTGTTCAAAAGTCCCCTAACCCCCCCTCCCCCATGAACGTTCCTTGTCACAGAATCACAGAATCTGGCTAGGAGTTGCTGTTGAATCGTTGAATCCCCTTAGTCGTTGTCGTTGCTGTTTTTAGTGGTGTGAATAGTTTTGCAACCAGTACTGTGCCATGGCACTAGGGAGGGCAGGAGATCAATCCGTGCTGGCTGCATCCTTCCTGGGTTATGGGGGTGTAAGCACCTCAAGTGATACCTTGAGGACGCAGCTGGCCCTTTGGATCAGGAGGCTGCTTGATTGTCTCGGGAAAGAGCAGGCCAACCACTCTCTTCGTAGGGAAAATTGCTGAGATGTGCCACTGTGTGGCTTTCATCTGCTGAGCTTGAAGCCAAATCTCCTTTCAGACTCACTGGTGCTTACGTCCAGCGAGGATCCTGGCTCCCAGCTTGCTGGGTGATGGTAAGCCATGAGTGTGGCCTCCGCCTGAGAGCCAGGAACTAACGACCCGTGCTCCTGAGGTTCTGCTTCTCCTCTGCAGGGGCTGTGGTTCCAGAATAGCATACTAGGAGAAGCCACAGACTTGCAGCTGCTTCCGCAGTCCCAATCCTTGGTGGGCGGGCTCACTGTCACCGTGTTGGGGGACTTACTTCTGGTCAGTTTATCAGACCCTACCTTCTCTTGTCATGGAGACACTCAGACTTGACCCCGAGGTGTTTCTCCAGTGGCTGTGCTGAGCCAGCAGACAGCTGTCCATTGCTCTGCCTCCAGTGTCCTCAGGGGCCACGACCAATATCCTACCACATCCTCTCACCAGCTCCTTGGATCCCATTGTCTGGCTTGAGGGCTGGAGTCCCAGACCCAGAGAAGCCCTATCACTGAGGCCAGCTGCCCCAGAAGGAGGCCAGCTTCCCTTTGCACTTTCTCACACATCTCATCCCAAGAAGGGGCTCAGTAGTCTCTGCCTCCAGTGCAGCAGGGTGTGTGTGTGTGTGCGTGCGCATGTGTGTATCATGAGTGTGTGTGTGTGTGTGTGTGTGTGTGAGAGAG